CCAAAATTAAAATAATATTTTACAAACCTTTTATAAGCCGTTTGAGACATCAATACTTAGCAAATGTGAGGGATTTTTCTGAAGAAAAGGCAACATTTACTCCCTACCGCTTCACAAATCATGAATTCTAGGTGCAGTGATTGTCATCTACCCAAAACAGCGAAAGCGTTGCGCGACCACCGGCGGCGGGATAATAGATGTGTGTGCATGTGAGTTTTTTTTAAATGTATCCAAATAAATACCGAAAATACTACTTTTATTTCCCGTTATTAACTACATTTGTGCGTCTTCCTCCTTATGTTTTAGTATCTAAAAGTATAACGTTCGTGTTAGCGGCAGCTCCTGGCCGTTCAAATCTATGCAAGGCTCTGACGACGTATTCCAGAGTTAATAGAGGGGACTCCCCTCTATTAACTCTGCGTATTCCTATGAAAAATGGAGGGTCCTGAAGGGGGTTCCTAATCCCCTTTCCAAGCCCAACATTTACTGAAATCCCAGTTCAAATCCCTTTATTCTTAGCCCAAGCCCATTTTTGATGATTTTTTGTTTATGAATCCCAATGCATGATATCCTATTTTCCCAGCACCAAAGAAGGATAATACCAGCACTCATTTTACCCCTTCAGGACGCTCTAGGTACTAGCTCGGTTCGATCACAAAATGGGTTGGGGAATGAAATCAAACGAAGGTCGAAAACGTCTTAAAGAAATACAGAAAGACTATCTAATGGCCCAGTTTAACATTGGTGAGCAGACCGGGCATAAACTTGATCCTGTAACGACATCAAAAAAAACTGTCATCGCTTATCACCACCGCAAGTACAGGAGCGGCGCAGCTCAACGGGGTCGATCTGAAAGCATTTTTGGCCTTCCTCAAAGTCCTTGAGGAAGGCCAAGAATTCTGATGGTGTCCGTTTTTTCAGTCCTGATGGGTTCCTCACGTCTAAACAAGTGTTTTTTTTCACGATTGCCAAAGAAAAATGTCGTCTCCGCCGAAATAGATGCACAAGTAGACGACAAGCTTCCAGGAAAGGCTCTGGACAAAATGAACAAGGAAGTACTGAATGCCATATTAATACAGCACCCCATATCCTTGGATGTTTATAATCTGTGTGAGCTTGCTGTGCAGAACACGATGAAAGCAACACGTGGACACCAGCAAAAAGGATAAGAAAAGAAAATAATCCTACGTTGACGCCACTCGTCCGCACACATCTTTTCACAAGAAAAACAACCATTTCAACTAAAGCCGTTTTATAAGAAAAAAATATTTATACCGACATTATTAGTTTTTGTTTCCTAAATTAATACAAAATATATGTCGCGAGTATATATTGAGCGGGATTCATGTGATAACTTACCGATACCGAAATCACTCGCGTAACTCAAGGGCGGATCCAACGGAGGGGTCCAGGGCTGCGGACCCCCCTTTACAACTCGTTATTTCCCCTTTTTTAACATACGATATATTGCAGATAATTTTCTATTGAAAGTCATAACTCTTATGTAGGTTTATAAATTGAAAGCCAAATCAAGTTGTTATGTTTGCGTTCTGAAAGGTTACAACGTACAAATATAGCGGTATGTATGACCTCAAAAATAACGTCACTGATTTAATGTACTTTTTGGACCCCCTTCAAAAATATCCTGGATCTGCCTCTGAAACTAGACAAATGCTACCTCAAGGGTCACACACAATACGAGGGCGTATAACATTAGCCGATCTATTATTTTTGATGCGTTCGTGAGAAGAGCAAAGTTTGCATTCCTATATTACATAAATTTGTTATGCATACAAGAGGGGGATATTGTTTTAAAAGAAAGCATAGTTTAAGGAGCTTCGATATTTAAGTTTTAGTCCTCAAGTGGCTGGGCCGGCAAAAAAATAAGATTTTTGAGGAGAACTCTTTATCCCCAGTGGCCATGGCCGCCAGTAGTGGTCACGCAACGCTTTCGCGGTTTTGTGTAGATGACCATCACTATACCTAGAATTCATGATTTGTGAAGCGGTAGGGAGTATATGCTGCTCTTTCTTCAGAAAAATCCCTCAAATTTGCTAAGTATTGATGTCTCAAACGGCTTATGAAAGGTTTGCAAAATATTATTTTAATTTTGGCAGTCATTTACTTGCTAATTTATGCAAAAACGATCCTTTCTGAAACAACGTATTTAGGCATATTTGATCGATCGTAGAAACTTAAAAACACATTTACCTAAGAATTTTTTTTCACAATCTTGAACAATATCATCGTGACATCACATACAGTGAAAATCTCGCTTTTCCGTTGTATCGGCCATGGTAAAATTCTCACTTGTTTTGAGGGTACTTTTAAGCTCAAGAAAACTGTGTCTTGCAAATAATTCTTCCAGAAATTCTTCGTTACAGCTACATGTCTGAAAATCAT